GCACCCGGTCCCCGGGCGGCTGGGCAGGCGGAGGGAGGTTGGCTCCCCTCCCCGCGCTCCCCAGAGGAGCCAGCGCTGTCCCCCCCACCCCGGGCGTGGGACTGTCCCCCCACGTCTGCCCTCCTGGCCTCAGCAAGAGATGGGGCTGCACCTGCCTCTGCCTCTCGTAATCCTGCCTGCAGGTTGCTCAGGAAGGAGTTTTGGTAGTATCATTAGGATGGCATTACCAAAAAAAAAAAAAAAAGGTGTAACACAGCATAATTTAACGTTTTAAGTAAATATGAGCTAGGAAAACAAATCGTCAGAATAAAACCCATTTAATTGTAGCATTTTACACACCAAACTCAAAAGATAAAGAGACAAGGTAGATTGATTTCTATGCCCGTCAATACTAGTTGTTTCAAAAGAAATAAAACTTGTACCAGCAAACAGCACGCTGATGGCTCTTCCTAACACTGCCACAGACAGTATATGGTCTATAACTGAAAATCAAAAGCAGACAATGCCTGTTCATTTACGTTTTTTCTAAATAAGGCAGGATAGCCATAGAGCGTATTCCTGCTTAGATACTTGCCTTACTCTCTTTTTTCCAGTTCTGAATGTTTTACCTCATTATCTTTTTGTGGCAAGATGAAGAGGTATTTTGCATTGCGGGGAAAGAACTGTAAATCAGCTAAAGCCCTTCCACTATTTAAAATCCAGTCTGATGTCCTCCACACTGCTACTGAGAGGAAAGGGGAAAAGAAGAGCAAGGGGGGCAACCAGTTTGCTCTTTAGCGTTTCTTGCATACGCTCTCTCACATCAGCTCAATACAGGAGCCTGTAACATGACTGTAATTCACATTTGGGAGATCTCATTCCAGAGGACTATGGAGACCAGCAACTTGGGAAGTACTCAACGACTTTTTTGGAAATTCACTATGCCTTATTTGCTTTTTGATCGCTGTTTCAAACCATCTCCTACACCCCGGCCACAGCCAAATGCAAATCTTTTCCTGTAAGCACGTGGAAGTAGCTTGCAACCTGCTAACACATAAGGGAGGCCTGACCCGATCATCACTCAAAACTAGATATTGGTTTTCAGCCATCATCCTACCTCCCAATTCTTTACTGCTGCTTGTGCTGCCTGAAACAGAAGAGGCCAGATGAAGGGATATACCAGATTTACGGTAGGAGTCCCCCAGCACTGTTTCAGAGGAAAACCCGGGGCATGGAAGAAGGGTCCTACAGCAGGGCCAGAGCTGCAATCCCCAGCTCCCTGCACCAGCCGACTGCCTTCACTTGAAGGGGGGACAGATAGGACCTGTGCCTTCATTTTCAGCCTCTGCAGATCACAGTCCACCTTTGGTGACCAAAATTAAATTAATTAATCGGGCCTGAAGGTCACTGATGCAGAGATACGTCCCCATCTACGGGCACTCTGATGAAGAAGCCAGCTCCTACAGAGTGGATGCAAAGCCTGACTGCAGCAGCACCTTCAGGTGCCGCACCAATCATCAGCAGAGCCACAAAGACACTGAAGGCAAACCCAAATCTCAGCGCGCTGGTGAGGCCAGCCAGAGCATGAGCCCCAGCACACTGGGTCCCATCCGCATTAGTATGCATGCCATCTCGGCACTAATACATGCGTGTTCAGTAGCATTATTCCTTTTTGTCCATGAACTGAGAAACTCCCAGGAGAACTTCTCTGCTCTTTTTGGCAAACTACTAGCACTGAAGTGATACACAGTTGCTTCCTCACTAAGAAAAATACAGGTTAAAGGTAGAATTATATTGGAATTGGGACTGTAACTCACCCACTCAGCTGAACAGATTTACTGAGTATTAAAACCAAGAATCTATAGAAACTGCAGGGGGTATTGTGCTGGTGGTGGTGGGTGGACAAACCAGCAGGAAAAGTTAAAACATGGGTAAGAGCTCAACTTAAGAGAGAAGCAGCAGAGATATGCCCGGACCTTTTCTGATATAAGTACCAGTTACATCTTCAAATCAAACAAACACCACAGTGTCACTCTCATCAGCGCTCTGGGAGTTCACTAGAGAGAGGTGAGATCCCAAATCCACACCCGCTCCCAGAATTACTCTAAATCAGAAAAACTACTTCCGACCTGCTTTGTAGAAGAGACATCTTAAAGCACAGAGTAATGGGTCCCCTGATGTTCAAACTGTTTTATAAGTGCACTTGTCAGTTCTCCCAAATACTGGCCAGGTATGCTGTTGTTACAATAAACTAGCCTCTTTCCTCCTTTCTACTCCGTCAGTTCAAGTACACCTCTGTAGCAGTGAGAGTACCTAAACATATAAAGAGGAGCAATTTCAAGCACTCTTAAGATGACAGCCAAAGACAATTTATTCCAGTAACCTAAAAAACACTGGAAGCCCTTCAGAGAAAAATACTTAATTAGTAAATAAAAATCACTAACCAGTTTATGAGGTTGACTCAACAAGTCACTTAGGCATGGTTAAAAATATGTCTTAAGTCCATCTTCACATAGTAACAAACTAAAACATCCCTATACATGTTTGTAACTAACTTGTCATTTATTTTTCAAATCTTTTTTTTTTTTTTTAAATAAGTCTTCTGAAAGACCCTCCTCTACCAATCCTCTTCAGTCCTTTACTATTCAAAACACTTCATCCCTAAGACAACAGGCGTGACGGAGAAAAAGTTGGAGGGACACTGGCTAAAGTATTGCATTGCTTTCAGCACAAAAAGCTTCATTTCTTTAACTCTGTCTTTCTATGCAAGAAACTTCCTTGAGAAACTAGAGTAACATCTGCTGGTACTTCAAATAATTATTCTTTATATCTTCGCCCCTCCCAAGTTTCCTGGGCTGAGGTCATCAAAATTAACAAATACATTTTAAAATCAAAGTCCACCATTTGCAGGCTTTCAGGGGCAGGATTGTAAAAGTCATCATTAGACAACTACTCTTCTCAGCAAAGCAAATGGTTTGTGCATAATGCTACCGAACAGTTGGACTTCTGTCATTATTTTTGCTGGCTAGCCTAATTACCCTGTCATGAGGTCTGTAACTTCAGTGCAGATACAGCATTAGATCAGCAGTTTTTACACGCTGGTCATTATTTCCTAGGGGTCTTCAAAAGTAACTAAGATTTGCCCATTGTTGGTAGGCTTAAATTCATTTTTCAGGAGTCCATACACCCACTGGACCCTTTTTTAGGGTTTCTGAAATAGTAACAACACAGATAAAAATGCACTACATTAAAATGTTGTGTCAACTGTTTTCTTGCAGGAATAATATAAGTTTTTGAAAGCCTGAAAATGGCCATCGAAAGGGATCATCTAATATATAATCATCCTGTAGCTATTAGACAGGACAGACACCTATCTCAGAAAGGAGGCATGAAGCAAAAAACAGCAAGCACTTGCAAGTGTATTCACTCCTTTTTCTGTGCATCAAACTCATACATTTAATAACTGACGAGTTAGAAAATCCAGGTACTTCCAGTCTAGCAGTTAGCATTTACCATTTTAACATTAACTTGGCATTTTTACATTACTTAAAATATAAATGAATTTTGACAATTTCTGACCTTTCACATCTCCTAGACTAGAGACAGCTGGAGATTAAGGCACCAAACTGTCTCAGTATTTGTTGCAAAACCAGGAGACAGACCTACTGATGGAGCGAGTACATTTGTGACAGAACTAATTTCTCCTGAACTGACAGGACAACTTCTCCTGGCGTGTTACTCCGCTGCTTTTTATGAACATTAAAGTTACTTTGAAAAAGACCATGATGGGGAGGACAGGGGGAAGAAGATTCAAAGGGAACAAGTAATACTGATGAATCTCACGTGGGTGAAAGCTTCCTTTAATAAGCTCCTGCTAACCAGCAACAACATATAACTGCAAAGGGAAAGAACGAACCACAAATCTGAACGTACATTTAAAGCACTCCAAAACTTAATCTGAAAGTGACTGTCAGTTAAGACATCCAAATAATCCCCCAGTCAATCAAATCTGCAACACCAGTCTACCGTTGTGATCTTGCTGCCTATCAAATTCACAGACCAGTTGTGTTTACACAAACATACAGTTTGTAGCAGTATCAA